TTATATATATATATATATATATATATATATATATATATATATATATATATATATATATATATATATATATATATATATATATATATATATTATAAAGAAATTTATCAACTGTGATATATGAAACTAATATAAATAACTATTAATTGTGTCATTTTTCTTTTAACATTTTTAAACTGTAATAACTGTCAACATTATGTGATTGTGAATACAATAAAACATTAAATATACACTAATTTTAGGGAAAAATCTACTGGAAATTTTTACTCGTCCATGCGGACAAGCAAGGTAAACATTTTACTTGTCCTCCACAAGTTTACACTCGTCAAAGACGTGAGGACATGGGATTTTTCGCAGCCTGATAGAAGAACTTGGTTTGTATTGTTCTATCATTTCATGTAGGTTTTATTACCCAACTCTGCCACTACCTTATACTACATATTGACTGAAAAATGTTCTAGCAACAAAATGCCAAGAAAAAAAAATGATCAACAAAACATAGGAGGAAATAGCCCAGTGGGGTTTAAACAGTCTCACGCCAGCACTAAAAATACTGGTATCGTACCGCTGCATGTGACTTAGGTTTAGTTATTAAAAATATAGGACCACATCCACCTGAGACTGAGTTCTGTTTACACAGTGGTTTCTGAGCCTCCACACTCCGGCTAAGACCAGCAAGCCTCCACCACGTACATTCACAGCAAGATAGAGCTTGGGCTGGTTCCTTGTCCGGTGGTAAATCGCCAGGACGGCATGCAAGCTCTATCGCTCCAGGGTATGTTTGGTGGAGGTTTGCCCCTTTCCCCGGAGTGCCGAAAGCACGGAGGTCATCGCGAGTAATTGCGTGTCTTCCAACAAGTAAGTAACAAGTGAGCATCAGTGTGGGTGTACAGTCTCCCAAAAAGCTATTGGCAAGAAGTCGTACAAAAGGGAATGACAGTGCATGTGAAATTCCAGTGCTTTATCAAGAAACCTGGGAAGATTTAAATTACCTGTTGATTGAGTTACTGGTATATGTTAGAGGTGTATTAAATTTACTCCTCAGTGGTAGTTGCATTTAGTTATGAAGGATGAATAAATATGTGTGAGTGAAATACACATTTATGCATAGCATACATATGATAGTAATAACATAACCAATATACAAAATTTTTAAAAAATAAAAAAATTTTAAGGAGTGATCACTTGCCTTCTCCAATTACCTAATAACTATGAATGAATGACATTCATAGTTAAATATGATTTCAAGATAACTCACTGGCCATCATACTCACCATGTCTGTGATAGTGCCGCTGTCAGCAAATCTGTTGATCCACCAGAATGGGGAGATATAGCAAAACTGAGTGCTTTTAATGTGATTTCAGTCACATTTGCAAAGCTTCATCAACAACAGAAACCATTAGAAATAGCCTGCATGGATGTTTTCAAACCAGAGCTCCGATAATGAAATAAAAGATAGGTATGGTAAAAGTTAGTCATGCTGTCAAAGTAGATTTTTAGGATGCCATATTCCTAGATGAGAATATACTGCATTCTGAACACAGGACAAATAGGCTTCATGGGTGTAGCACAATGAAAACGGAAAGTAAAAGCAATATTTTTGGCTTTGCTTTGATGTAAAACATTGAAAACGAACTTCATATATAAGTATACAAAAAGGAAAAACTACCGATAGTTTTTTTTGGGTGGCTGTGTACCTTGCTTGTACTTTCTGCAGATAGGTTCAGGTGTAAAACAAGGTTCGCATAAAGTGAAGGTAAAAAGCATAATCGCACATTAAAAGCCACAGACTTATGGTTAGACAGCAGAGTCCAGCCTTTGTGCTTCCCACTACAGCAAGAGCAAACAAACCACTACCTTGAGAAGTTGAATGACCTTCCCTGAGATTGTTCTTGAATAAGGAAGCAAGCTTTATCTTACTAAGTTGGGCATAGGGTTGTAGACCTATATGGGAGCATGAACCATGGAGGTTATTCAAAATAGTTACCTATAATTAGGTCAGTATACATCATGAGCAGTTTATTGGAACCAGCTTCATTAGTATTAGCATGTGGTTGACTCAAAACATTTAAGAAACGCTCAATCCCACAGGTTAATTTGTGGAGCATTCAATATTATGGTGATTTCTGTATATTATTTATTGTAGCCTGTTTCTGTAGATCTGATGTTTGCAGTGACCCTATATTAAAGTTGTCATGCATTTAGTGTTTTTTCATGAGATTATTTCTTCATAATTTAAGACCTAAATTCCATCCAGGGCCACTTGAAACTTGCTATAATTTGTGATGGATGCTTTAATTTAAAATTTCCTCATACACCAGCAATGACTCAGTGCTGGTGAGACCTACATGGCTTCATCTATTCAGCAACAACCAATAAGCTTCCAGCACTTATGAATAGGCAAGATAAAGCTGTAACTGGTTCCTTATTTGACCATAGGTCATTAGGAAGGCTTACAAGTTCTTATCTTGCCAGATTATAGTTACATGGTGGAGGTGCATTGGCTTATGCATCTCTAGTTTTAGTTGATACAATTGCCATACCATGATAGACTTCTGAAAGACTTTACTATCACATTACCATTATAGTATTAGTTTGTATCCTTCATTATACCAGGAAGGTAAAAGTTTCAAGATATAATTTGCCCACCTTGGAATTTAGGTTTCTGAGATTTATTTTTGTGTACCATTTGTCAAGAAGAGTAGATATAAGGTGTAAATTCATCAACTTACTTTCAAATAGCAAACACATTAAGAGTACAAATATTGGTTTCAGAATACAAGAGGACCACACCAGCTAGGGAGATATGGCATTTGGTTGGGGGTCCAGGAGTGAAGCCCCCTGGTTAGGAAGATTTTTGGTTCATAGAGCTGACTTCATGGTAATTTCTGTGTTTAGGATGGGGTCAGTGTCTGATGGGTGAAGCCCTGTTGTAAACTTTTGCCAAGTACACTAAAGGACCACACTAGCTTGGGAGAAATGGTAATTAGAAGGGTGTACAGTGTCACAGTGAGCAGTAGGGGGTTTAAGAAAGATTTGATTCATCTTCTTGGTAGTTGTTTATTTAGGATAGGGTTTATTCATTCATTCATTCAAGTTGGGGGACTTAGTCTCTGGCAGGTGTAGTCCTGTTGTAAACTTTAAACAATATGTTCCTAGAATGTTATAGCAGAAAAGATTGGTACTCCATAACTTTTATCTCCCCCTTTGGTAGCTGTTAAGCAGCAGTTGCCACAGGATAACGCTGAAAGAGTTGCTCCGCATCACCTTATCACAAAAAAACGTTCTGCTGAAAATGGAGACAGCCGACAACCAAAGAAGCGTAAGCGATTCTTCTATATTAAGTGATAAACTGGATGTGGTCCTAATGGTTCAAATGAAACTAAATGTGTTATAACAGTTCAGAAAAGATTGCTATTCTATAATATTTTATCTCCCCTTTTGCTAGCTGTTAAGCAGCAGTTGCCACAGGATAAGACGGAAAGAGTTGGTCCGCCTCAGCCGGTCGAGAAAAGAGGCCCTGCTGAAAACGGACACAGACAGGAACGAAACAGGAGTAAGTGGGATTTATTTTTGGTAACCATTAAAGTTTAACATTGATTAATTTCATATAGTAACCAACTGGACATGGTTCTAATGGGTCTGATGGCATATGATTATAACTCTAGTTCTTGATAGAGGATTATGTATAAATTTTTTTTTATGTGAATGCATATCAAAGACCATTTAAATGAAATTGGTTATGATAGAGCTATTAATTTATAATAGAAAAATAAATGATACAAAGCCAAAAAATTAGTATAGCAAAATACTGCCTTATTGTAACATAAATAGCTTTAATGGGACTTAATGTATGGTACTTTGTGTCAGACAGTAGTTATGATATGCAAATCAGGAAACATTAATGGCAAGAAGAAATTAATAACAAGGCCAGACTGGCTGATTGTGGAAAATTATATATATATATATATATATATATATATATATATATATATATATATATATATATATATATATATATATATATATATATATTTACATACACACAAATCTCTTTTTTAGTGTAAGTTTGTGGATGCAAAAATAAATTATGTCAAAATTTGAGGGCCTAACCTGTTCAGGGTATTGGAATGAAATTAGTTATATCATATTCATTCATATTATTGGTTTTGTTGTTTAGGGAGAAAGATGAAGGAAAATTATATCCGTGGTATGACACATATTAGCAACTGTATTGAAGTACATTTTGGAGATGAATGTTTGTGTATTTGTTACCCACATTATCATTTTTCTTTCTTTCTTTCTTTCTTTTTGCTGTGTGCTTTGAACTTCAAGGGAGGAGGCCAAAGAAGAAGCAGCTCGTAGGAGACAATACAGAAGCACAGCAAAAGATGGACATAAAGAAGAAAGAGACAGACAAAAGTAATGAAGGTGAAACAAAAAGCAATGGAGGAGAATCAAAACCTGCAACTACAGGAGAACAAAGAGAACCGTTTAAAAAGCGTGAGTATCCAGACATAGTTAATTCATGCATGGTATTATGGCTATATCCTTCCTGAAAGCAAGATTACCGATGGATAGCACATATTGTAGATTCTTTACTTTCAAACAGGTAAGAGGCCAAGAAAGCCTAAAGGAAATCTAAATACAACTGAAAAGGTAGATGACAGTACCTTCGAATTCGGAAATTCGGAAAGATCATTTAAGAAACTTGAGGGAAGCATATCTCCCAAAACCCTAAGAGTCCTCCAGCAATTAGGCTTCAAGGAGATGACGGAGATTCAAGCCAAGTCGATCCCTAAACTCCTTGAGGGACTGGACCTGCGAGGGACAGCCAAGACCGGATCTGGGAAGACCTTGGCCTTTGCCATCCCAGTGGTCGAGTTGATGAGCAAGTTGAACTTCACGCCCAGTCAAGGTAATTCGTGAAGATTGTAACTTGGTTCAAAATGAATGGCTTGCAGAAGGAAATAAGGTCAGAATGGAATATTCAAAGAACTAGACATTATCAGGATTCTGAAACTGAATATTTATTTTGCAAATGTTTTAGATTTGAGTATATTGAATGTTATGGTTTTGAATAGCAATATTCACATAGAGTAACTATTTTGCATCATGCTAAAATAGAAAAATATGGTAAAGATAAAATTGAACCTAAAATAAATAAGAAGAATATTCCTTCAGGAACTGGAGTTGTCATCCTCTCTCCAACCCGCGAGTTGTCCATTCAGACACGTGATGTTTTGGCGCCCTTTGTGAAGGCTCACTCGCTGACAGTGGAGTTGATTATGGGAGGTACCAACATGAAAACTGAAACTGCAAAGTTACAGCGAGGTAAGACCTAACATGTGCTTTGAATGTTCAATATTGTTCTGTTAAATTCATACATTCTGTCCTCCCTCTTCTTTAGTCTTCTGTCATAATTTTTCTATCTAATAATGTTACCAGATTAAATTTGGTTTTAAGTACTGGACAGGTATGGTCAGAAGTGCCTCGTCCACAGCAATTTTGCTTACACTGAGATAGCTTCACAAGAGCTTAGTCAATTTATCCTTTTCTTTGATGTTTAGAAGAAAAAAATTATCTGTTATTTTTTATTAATATATGTATTGATAATAACATCATAACCCCAGTGTCAATAACAGTAATGATATTAATAGCATTAAAGAAAAGAAAACTTTCCTGAAAATTCAAGGACTGAAGAGATCATGTCAGAGAAATAGAAATAGATTGTTAACCCTCACTCTTCAATTTTGCTTTAAACATATAAAATTTCTTGGTGAACAAGGCTAAAAAGTGACCACTTTTGAGAGGCTGTAACTCCTAAGACTCTGCAGTAATATTCAAACAAGTGAACAATTTAGTGCACACATCTTTGAGTAGATTCAGCGTATATGGCGTGGACGTACCATATGTCAGCAAGGAGAATATAGAAGAGGACTGTGTTCATGATCAGACTTTCATATGCATTATACATTTACAGGTGTGAATATTATAGTTGCTACACCAGGAAGATTCCTAGATCATCTCCGATCGACTAAAGATTTCGTCTTCAAAAACATGGCGTGTCTTGTCCTTGATGAAGCAGATCGAATTCTTGATGTAGGATTCGAGCATGATCTCAAGCAAATCTTACAACATCTACCAAGTCTGTGTCTGTTTTTATTTTTTTAAGAAATATTGAAATTAAATGTCTTATGAGAATAACAGTCCCCTCCACTTTCAAGGAGTTGGTAGTCTTGATTCTTGTTTCCAAAACACATTCCCATATGTTTTGGATATAACTGTCAAAACTGTACATTCGCATTGCTGTGTGGGGAACTTTGAAGTGGAGGTGACTGTATATAGATATACTGGACATATACATTGGATTATAGATATACTGTTCTTTAGTTGGTACGTCCACTGCAATGCATTCCACTTTTGATACAGGAGAACGTCAGACAATTTTGTTCAGTGCAACAAAAGATACAAAGACAAATGCTTTAGCCCCACTTGCTCTTAAGGCCAATCCTGTAGAAGTCGATGTAGACTCTGACAAAAAGGAGGCAACAGTGGATGGCTTAGAACAGGGTAAGTATAGAAATAGCTTTTGTTATCATTATTATTATTGTTGTTGTTGCTGTTATCATCAGCTTTATCGTTATCATACATCCTACAAAGTTTAGCGTCAACATTCAAAAAAGTAACTGTAAATAATCCTGACATATGTAAAAATGATTAAAAAAAGTTGAGAAGTAAAGGATTAGCATCTAACAACAGATGGATTTAATGAATCAATATAAAAATTATGTTAAGAAACTTAAAAATCCAATGGCTTCTCCCCACCCCCCCTTTATTTTCCCAATGCTAGATAGAATTTACATGAAGAATGTCTTTTGTTACAGCATATGTGGAGTGTCCTATTGAGAAGAGGATTCCCCTCCTCTGTAAACTTATTAAAGAGAATCAGGACAAAAAGGTCATGATTTTCCTGAACAGCATCTGGAACGTCAAGTATTACCACCACCTCCTTAACTGCTTGGGAATTCCTGTTTCACTCCTTCATGTATGTGTGTTTTTGTTTAGTAATAGTGGTAGTAGTAATAGTAGTAGTAGTAGTAGTAGTAATATTGGCTGCTGGTGTTGTTCTGATACACTTTCCTCTTTTTAAAGATTTTTATTGTTTATTGCATAATTACCAGTTGTCTGTAGTATTGCAAATGTTAGAAACGATATGGATGCTTTGTCATTCTAATAAAACCATGAAGGTAGTTATTATGATGGACAAATTTAATGTGTGTGTGATTTATAGTCTCCCTATACGTGTAATCATAAATCAATTTGACTTCATCTATTTCTGCCAATCCCTATTTAATTTTTCAGTTCTTTTAACCCATTGCCGCCGGGGAAAATAAACAAAAAATGGGGGGAATGTAGTACTCATTTCTTTTATTTTTGTGAAATATCTCTGTCCATAGATGGCTCTGCTAGTCCTGATTTCACCTTCCCTTGAATTGGCGGGAAAAAACGTATTTTTACTAGTGCTATAAATATAGATGGTGTTATTTTTAACAGCAAATTAGGATAACGTTAAATATTTTCGTAAAACGATGAAAAGGGTGAACGGGCGAGACAGGCAGTACTGTAATTGGCTAATTGGATATTTAATACAAGTGTAGCCATCTATGTGTAAAAACAATTGAACAAGTCGATTCACAGTGGGCACGGCATGTACGTACATGCCATCCCTGGCGGCAATGGGTTAATAATAATGGTAATAATTCCAGATTGCTTTTTTATCTGTCCTTTAGGGGAGAATGTCACAGAATAAACGAACCGAAGGATTCTTCACGTTCAAAAATCAAACGAAAGGTACATTGCTGTGCACCGACGTGGGTGCCAGAGGCTGGGACATTCAAGGCATCGAGTTGATAATCCAGTTTGATCCTCCCTCTGACCCCATGTGAGTGCATTCTTTGGTCTAGATCTCTTTCTTTTTATTATTATTATTATTTTTATCTAGCGCCACTTTGAAATATGTCCTCAGTTCTATTTGAAGAATTACTGTTATTTTCCATTTTTGTTTTGAGGGTTTTATTTTCATCAAACATTACATAAATGACGTGTTTTGTTGATATTTTTTTCTGGTCTTATGGATTATATTCGAAAGCTTAATCTGTCTGAATTTGGTCATAAAACACCAGAGTTTAAATTTCCAGTTTCCCTCAATATGAAAGTGATCATTATTCCCAAAGAAATTTTTCAACATTCTACATTGAAAATCTTTGCATTGCTTTTTGTCTGTCTGTCTCTACATCAAGAATTGTGTACTTTAACAGGGAGTACATTCATCGGGTTGGAAGAACTGCCAGAGCTGGAGGCAGTGGCAGTGCCATACTGTTTCTTCAACCACACGAAAGTATGTTCATTGCTTACATGAAGTCCCGCAATGTTACCCTTCCTCCCATGGATCTTTCATGGGGGGAAGTAGAAGATCTGAAGGTGAGAATCAAACTTTGTGTGTGTGTGTGTGTGTGTGTGTGTTTCTTTCTTTATTTCTTTATTTCTGTCTTTCTTTTTCCTTATTTCTTTGCTATCTTGGGTTGGGGGGATGTTTTTGAATAGTTGCATTTTTTTATAGCATTAGATGCTTTGTCTTTCCCTTCACTTATTATTCTTTTGTTTGGCCAAACCATACATATTATTATCTTAGCAGAAAATCCCTTTCATCTCTGGTCATAGGTGGGAGAATATTCTTTACAAAACATCTTCATCTTTGCATAAGGCTTTATGAGCCAGTAATTTGCTCTATGATCATGTTCAAAATGCTATCAGTAACAAGGAAGGAATCATAAGGATGTGTACAGTCCTTCACTGCAACATCAGCTAGGTACCAACAATCCTTGAAGAGAAATAAAATATTAAAATGAAATACTAACAGCACAGTATTGTCTCCCAGGTCGAGGAGTTAAACCAGCAGGATGAGCACCTCCCCGGGATGGGAAAGAAGGCTTACCGTGCTTTCCTACGATCCTATATGGCCCTTCCCCTGAAATCTATCTTTGATCCGAATAAACTGGATACATTAAAGGTAAGGAAGATTGAAATGTCTCAGTGGGTGTGAGTTCATATAGGGAGGTTCAGTACCCATGTCCATGATTGTATTATAAATATTTGATTATTCTTCTGTTTATAGTTTAGTAAATGAGAATCTGATTTTGACTGTTTTTTAATGGAATTTTATTTCTCTTGTTAACAGGTTGCTAAAGCATATGGCTTCACGAAAGAACCACTGAAAGTGCGTGGATTAAGAAAGGAAAAACGTAAATGAAAGAAGTGATATTTTTAGGTTGTGATGCATTTGTCTTATTTTAATTTTTTTTCCTCTAGTTACTTCAAGGTTATTTCTTCTCTTTTTTTTATGTATTTATTTATTTTTTCTTTTACTCTCCTCTTCCTCTCACTTCCTTTCTTTCTTGTTTTTCCTCCTTTGGTTTTATTTTTTATTTTCCTTTTCTCTTTTATCTTTTCTCTTTTTCTTCTCTCTTTTTCTTCATATTTTTCTTCTTTGCTCTCCTTTTCTCTTTTATCATCTTTTCTCATTTCTCTCACTTTCTCTTTTCTTTTCTCATTTCTTTTCCTTTCCCTTTTCTCTCTTTTTCTTTTATCTCTGACCATTTGCCCAGAACTGCTTTAGAAGATTTGTTGCCTTAACCCATTCGCGCCGGGTAGAAATGAACAAAAATTGGGGAAAATGCCGTGCTCATTTTTTATATTTTTTCGTGAAATATCTCTACACTAGATGGCTCTGCCTTACCTGATTTCACCTTTACTTGAATTGGCGGGAAAATGTATTTTTACTAGTGCTATGAATATCGAGGGTTATTTTTGTTATAAACTTTATAATTACTAAAATGTTGTAAACATTTGTAACAGCAAAATAAGATAACGTAAAATATTTTCGTAAATTAAAGAAAAGGGTAAACAGGCAAGAGAGGCAGTACAAGTACAAGTGCAGCCATCTATGTGTGAAAACAATTAAACAAGTAAACTCATAGTGGGCCTGTCACATATATGTGACACCCGGCGCGAATGGGTTAAATTTTTACCTATAACAAAGCATTGATATATTCACTCAAATGTTCTACAGCTTAATGAGTGTACTACAATAACATGAATATATCAGTGATGCTAGAGATGAAAATTAAAGCTAGCAAAACATTTCATAAATGCTTTTTCGGGTAGTTGGTCTGAAAACACATTTGGACACATACTCTCATTTGACTTGGAGTATCAGATATTATTTTTATGATTTCCAGTTTTATATTACCTTTCATGTAGCTGTTAGGTATACAGGCTCAGCCTATATATATATTTTTTTTTGTTATGAGCAGGTTGTACTGTTATGTGGATAATAGTGAGTGTTATCACTAAAGTTATCATTTTAGTTTTTTCCTTTCTCTCTTTTTTTCCTTTCTTTCTCTCTTTTCTGTTCTTTTTTGTTTGTCAGAATATGACATGGCCTTAGGTATGAAAGCTGAGATTCGGTAATAGTACAAGCTGTGCTTCTAGGGATCATTACATGTTTTATATGGATGCATTTACTTTAAAATGTATAGATCTTTTCATAAAATAAAATAAAAATATTGGAATTTTGTTGTTTTTTTCTTAGTATCCCCTAGTCAAGATGTTACGGTGTTTTAAAAGAAAACTGATGATCATGACAGCTGATATCACCTCCCACGGTTGAAATTGATGCATTAGTATGGCATTCAACCAACATATGTTTCAGGAGATGCATAATCATAGAACTTAATGATAATAATAATGATATCTGTCTTAAAAGCTGCAATAGTGAAAAAAAATTGATGGCTGTCCTCTAAGTTTATAGTTTGTCAAATCACCTCTCATTTGCACACAATCAATCCGTAGAGTTTCATAAATCACAAAACAATATGGGATATATCTGGATTGTGTAAACTACCCACTTTGCTCTGTATTTGAGGTTATTTGTTTGTTTAGGTTATATTTGCTATATGAAAGTAATATGAATAGGTGCATTAAACCATATTACCCTGACTTTGACTTGAATGCTATCCATGATTAAAAATTTTTAACATCTGTAAATTGTTCATGCATTAAAAGCATTTAACATATTCCATTCCCATTCTTTTTCATTATCACAAAACTACTGGTCTGATTTTAAACTGTCAATCCACACACACACATTATATATATATATATATATATAGAGAGAGAGAGAGAGAGAGATTTTGGGTCTTCGTATCACCTTAATATCGCCAGTTGACACACCTTTTTTTTGTCTCTCTCTCTGTTTTTCGTTCTATTTCTCCCTCCTTCCTTTTTGTCTCTCTCGAACGACCTGGATGTCATTCACAAAATGGAGCAGAAAGGGGGACATTTCGTCTGGGGATGTACTGCTTGAGATACACACACACACACACACACACACACACACACACACACACACACACACACACACACACACACACACACACACACACACACACACAGGCTCCTAATTCGGGTCAAACAAACAGGTATAGTAAGGCAGACAGATAGGCATAAAACATACATACAAAGTCAAAATGAGCTTATTTCAATTTCACACAAACACACAGATACTTTATATGCATGAATGTATGTATGTATGTATCTATAGATAGATAGATAGATAGATAGATCGATATCCAGTCGACTAGTTCTCCACGTCATGTTGCTGTCTGACGGAGCGAGAATCAGGACGGCCGATGGACAGCATCGGAAAGGTGACGGAGAGGCGTGAGGACACCATTGAACAAGACCCAGCCATTGCCATCATCATTATCATCACCATCATCGTCCCCCCCCCAATCCTTTGCCCGTTGTTGTCGTGGGGGGGCTTAGGAAACGGAGACTAGGGACCCAATGATGGGGAACTCCCCAACCTTGGGACTCATCCCTCGACTCAACTAATTTTGCATGGTCTTTCTTCCCTTCCTACTTTTCGTTTCTGTCCCTTCACCAATCCCTTCTACTATCCACCTCCTAAGGTGTGAAAGCCGTGCTGAAAGGATGAAAGGCTGACTTTGTGCCAGTCCTGAACAGCCTGAGGGAGCCACGGGCACGGTATTCCCCTGATTTAGTTACCTAGCCCTTACCCCTCAAGGGGACCCTGAGGGGTGGACTGTTTTTATCCCCAACATAATCCAGGCTTACCATGGCCAATAATAAAAACATATCCCCACTATTAGGGGCAATGAGGCTTGCCCCTTTATCAAATAGCCCCAACGATGCAAACCCGCCCGATTCCCTGACCCCAGGCTCTCCTTTGACCACGGCTCCGAACGCTGCAACAACTACCCCCTCATCAACTACCCCATCCTCCCTTATTAATACCTTACAGCCTTATTGCCCACCTCTCCATAACACTACCTCCCTCAACACTACTGCATCTTCGTCACGCCCCCGCCCTTCTACTACCCCTATCTCTACAACATTCTTGAATACTCTATTTAGCGCAGCCAAACGGGACCGATTTTTCGTGATCCCTCCCACAGCTCCCTACTCTGACAACACCCTTCTCTTCCAACGATGTCTCCAAAAACAAGTAGGTAAAGTCTCTCCGTAGCCGACCCGACCGCTCCCGTCTCGTCACAGTAACATCCGAAAACCAAGCTATAGCATTAACAAAACTAACTGACCTATATGGTAACCCCATCCTTGCAGAACCCAATCCAACCCTCAATACTTGTACCGGAACAGTTTCAATCTCCCCAGCAAATTGCCCAATCTATGACAAAGATTGGTCAGATTGTGGAGAAGACCTACTCGCCTGTCTCACAGACTATGATGCAACATCAATACAATGCTACTCCATTCCCCCCAGAGGTCATCGAAAGAAACCCACTAACATAGCCAAAATTACCTTCCGTAGACATGACCTTCCCTTTAACGTTTACATAGGTGGAGAATCCCTCCCTGTCCGTCCATACTAACCTCCTCCACGTCAGTGCCAAAATTGTTGGCGTCTAGGACACCCAGCTAAACATTGCCGTTCCACAGCCAGATGCCCACTATGTGCCCAACCTGGCCATACCTGATCAAACTGCTCTGCACAATCACGCACATGTGCCAACTGTGGCGGCCCCCATAATGTATTTTATAGGGGCTGTCCCACCTACAAATTTGAGTCTGAGGTAGCAACTCTCAGATTCAAACTTGGACTCACACTACGTGAAGCCAGACAGGAAGCACGTCGACGTGGTTTCTCTCTTACTCCTTACTCCAGTAATACTGCTCATTCTACCACTTTTCCTAAACCCACCCCTCCTACATCTAACTCCCCCTCTTCTACCTCCTACCTTCCCCAGTCAAACTCTTTTGCCATCCTAAATCCAGGCACTCCAATCTCTACTACAGACACTCCGATCTCCACTACAACCCCAACACCTTCCCCTCTCCCTCCTTGCACTACCCGTAACAGACAGAACAAACGTTCCACTCCCTCTTCCCCTACCACATAATCACCTCCACCTTCCTTTACCCCTACTCTTGAGACACCAGTCCTCTCCCCCCCCCCCTCTCACAAGAAATCCTTTATCCCCCAAAACTCCCCAACCAACTCCTCAGAAGAAACTATTGAAAATATTCAAGATTACTTAATGATAACTGACACTCAACCTCCAAATCCCACAACTCCTGCTCCTTCCACACTCCAAGTGACTGCCGATATCCATCCTCCTAACGATATCCCCCTACACCCTATCCTTCTACCCCCTCCCAACACAGCCCATCCCCCCCCCGACTTCAACCCCACCCACATTAACCCTCCCACCATCCCCTCTATCCCTTCCACTCCCTCCTGGATACACACGTGAATCCCTCATGTCACAAGTATCCCCTTCCTCAGACCCTCCATCTCCTAATACCCCTCCTGATAGAACACCATATAACCCATCTATTGTATGCCTTCAAGAGACCTTTCTTACACATCCTCCAATACCAATCCCCAATTATCATTTTGTCTCTTCCCCACACTCCCTTTACGTCTCGCCCATATTTATCAATCAGAAAACACCTTATGCCACACCTCCCTTTCAAACCAATGTCCCTTGTACAGTTATTCGTCATCGATGGACCACAGTGATTTTAGTCTACTTCTCCCCTTCCCACCCCATTGACTTTGTTGCTTTTGAAAATCTAATTTCCCAACTTCAACCACCTTTCCTCATAGGTTGGTGACTTTAACTGCCTCCACACTCTTTGGGGTGATTCTATCACCAACTCCCGAGGCCGATCTCTAGAGCGCTTCCTCTCCACAGCTGACCTTACTATTCTAAATTCAGATCGCCCCACACACTTTGATACACGCACGCAATCTTTTTCATGCATTGACCTCTCCCTATGCTCCCCTTCTCTTCATTTAGATTTCCACTGGTCAGTCTTAGACCACTTTCCCTATAGTGACCACTTTCCAGTTCTACTTTCTCCTACTTCATACGTACCACTTCCTAACTCCCCACGCTGGTGCTTTGATAGAGCCGACTGGCATACTTTCATTTCACTCTCTGCTATTCATACCCCTCCATCCTCCCTCACCTCCATTTCAGAAATGATACAGTGTTTCACAACTACAGTCCTAAGAGCTGCACATACAGCTATCCCTCGAACCTCAAGACCATATACCTCCAAATGTGTTCCATGGTGGAATTCGGATTGCACTAAAGCACTTCGCTTAAAACGTGCAGCCTGGAACAGTTACCGCTACAGGTAACAGGAGAGGTACTCCAAATCAACTATCAGCCCTTATCTCCTTTAAAAGAGCATCTGCCTGTCTTTGTCGTACAATCCGAAATAGTAAAACAAATAGCTGGCGAAATTATGTTTCATCAATTACATCCTCTACATCTATCTTAAATGTTTGGCGCCGAATCCATAAACTATCAGGCAAACATCCCCCCCCATCCTGCCCCCGTCCTCCATATTCGAGATACCCTCATTTCTGATCCTCTCCAAGTCGCTAATGAACTGGGTGATTATTTCAGCCAGGTCAGTAGTGGTTCTCACCTTTCTCCACACTTCTCTTCTATTAAGACCATCAGAGAACGTACCCCCATTATCTTCACCCCATCCTCCGCTGAGTCCTATAATGCTCCATTTCCTCTGAACTAATTGCTGCCCAACAATCGTGCCGCAACACTCATGAAGGCCCTGACGGTATTCACTACCATATGCTCCGGCAACTCCCATCTTCCTCCTTATCCTTCCTATTAAAAAATTACAACCACATATGGACATCAGGAAGTTTTCCTTCTAATTGGCGAGAAGCTCTTATCCTTCCCTTCCTGAAACCCAATAAATCGGGTACCCTTCCTCAAGACTATCGCCCCATCGCACTAACTAGCTGCTTGTGCAAACTATTAGAGCGAATGGTGAACTTCCGCTTAATGTGGTATCTTGAATTTCATAATCTTCTCTCTCCTTCCCAATTCGGTTTTCGCCGTGCCAGAAGCATAGCTGACCCCCTTGCTCATTTTGAGACATATATTACATCTGCATTTGCACGTCGTGAATCCGTACTGGCTATATTTTTTGATCTAGAAAAAGCATACGATACGACATGGCGGTACCATATTCTCCAACAATTGTCCTCTCAAGACATACGTGGAAACACGGGTGTCTTCATAAAGTCTTTCCTCTCCCAACGCACTTTCCAGGTCAAAATTGCCTCTACCACATCATCTTTCTTTCCTCAAATCGAAGGTGTCCCACAAGGCAGTGTGCTCAGCACCACTTTATTCCTTCTTGCTGTTAATGATATTGTCTCAGTTTTACCACCAGGAGCCCGGTCATCACTATATGTTGATGATTTAACCATCTATGCTTCTGGCACATCCATACCAAATCTCTACCAATTTCTTCAGTCTGCAATCTCATCAGTATTTTCCTGAGCCACAAACCATGGCTTCCGCTTTTCTACCTCTAAAACTTTCTCCATCCTTTTCTCTCGCTCACGTGTAGATCCCCTACCCCCACTCTCCTTACATGGCACTCCACTCCAATGCCGTTCTTCTGGCAAATTCCTAGGTGTCATTTTTTACTCCAAACTGTCCTGGCGAGACCATATTCTACACATTATAGAAAAAGCTCTCCGCCGCCTTCGAATCTTAAACACTTTATCCCATATATCATGGGGCTCAGATCGCAAAACTCTCCTTCTTCTTCATGTTACTTTGATCCTCTCCACTCTTGATTATGGATGCCATATCTACTCCTCTGCCTCAACTTCTCTCCTCGCCCATCTTGATACAATCATCACTGTGGTCTTCGCTTAGCACTAGGCGCCTTCCGCTCCTCTCCAGTTGAGAGCCTGTACACTGAATCAGGCATACCATCTCTATCTCGACGTCGTGCCCTTCTCTCTCTCCGATGTTATGCTCGATTCCACCAACTTTTCCTCATTAAACTATCCCACAATCCCTACTTCCTACCTTAGCTTCATCTCCACGTTTACCTACTCCTCTCTCGACTCGCATGGATACCCTCCTCTCCCATTCCCCTTTCCCCCATCTCCAACTTCTCCCGTTCTCTGTCCATTCCGTCCCCCCATGGCTTATACCTCATCCTTATATTTGCTCTTCTGTTTTCCTTGACCCACCAAAATCAAATATTCCTCCTGCTGTCCTTCTCACCCAATTCCTTGACCATGTCTTCACTCATTCCTCTAGTATTCACGTATATACTGATGGCTCCAAATCCACCTCCGGTGCTGGTTTTGCAGTAATCTCCCCAACTTGTACTTTCAAATACTCCCTTCCTCCTGAATCCAGTGTCCTTACTACAGAACTGTATGCACTCCTTTTTGCCCTAAAACACATATACTCACTCTCCTCTTCCTCTTTTACAATTTTTACTGACTCATCAACTCTCATAAAGTCAATACACACCACCAACCCCCTTGTTTGTAAGATCCAGAACTGGTTGTTCTACCTGTCCACACGCCATAAAACAATCAAATTTTTCTGGGTGCCCAGCTATGTTGGAATCCCCGGCAATGAACAGGCAGATACACTAGCACGCCACACCTGCTATGTCCACATCATACCAACCACGCTTCTCACGTATCCCAGCCACGGATTATTACCCACACTTTCAGACCTTCTTGTATAACCGATGGCAATCTTTTTTGTCAAGTCTCCGCACTAATAAATTACATTCTGTAAAACTATCAATCTCCTCCTGGTCAGCTCCATTTCATCGGAACAGACGTTGGGAGACCGCTCTCGCCCGCTTACGCATTGGCCACACCCGTCTAACACACTCCTATCTGATGTCACAATCTGATCCACCCCTATGTTCCTTATGTAATGCTCCCCTTTCAATCCCACACATCCTATTGTCGTGCCCACGTTTTGAAGCAGCCCATACCTCTGCTTTCCCCCACCTATCCTCCCTTCACCGACCTCCCAACCTATCAGACATCCTTACAGAATCCCACACTTTCTGCTTCAACAACCTGTTCTCTTTCCTCAAACGCATACATATCCTTCCTCTAATCTAACTCCTCACCACACCCGACCTTAACCCTTTCACTCACCAATTCCTTTGCCCAGCTTAGACAACTAATCAATAACTCAACTACCCTTCACTAACATTAACTATAGTGCTACATGACCTTAGATGTCTAGCACATTTACCTTGCTTTTAACCATTATTAACCATCATCGTCACCATCATCACCATTACCATTACCACCATCATCACCACCATCAACAACATCATCACCATCACCTTTATCATCATCATCACCATCATCATCATCATTAGCCATCACCATCATCATCATCAACAATCATCATTATCACCATCACCATAAGTATAGTAATAGTGTACATTAATACTGACGTTATAAATCTTACTAAGCCTAATATATGTACCTGAAATAACTTTTAGATTTTTATCATTTTATACATTTTGACAACAGCTGAAACTATCTGAAATGCGTCCTTATCTCCTTATATAAAAAATTGCCGATAATGATATGCAAATGCGGCAGATTTTTAAAACTACGGCATGTAGTTATTAGAAAAAAAAATGATAGATAAGATGAATAAATGAGGTAACGCAATATAATTAATATGTTATCTATAATATTAAACTGAATTTTGGATGATTTTTAGTGTGAAAAAAAGAAATTTATTACAGAATGATAGAAACCCTATCGAGATAAAGAGGGGGAAATGAGCAAATAAGATATGGGAAAATGGACAATAAAAGATACGAAACAATACAAAAAATATAAATAGATTAAAACAATTAAGAAAGATAAGTCGTTTTATAACAATATGAAAAAATCAGATGTTACCCACATTCCCCCCCCCAAAAAATAACTTTATTTGAAGTGGAAAACAAAAAATAGGAAATAACACAATATAGATAGATAGAGAGACAGATAGATAGATAGATAGATATTAAACAATATAAAAATCAAATTTACATTAAAAAATGAATAAAAAAACCCGAGGTCGCTTACAGCACAGAGACGAAAATCACACACCTATCAAATAATCAGAAATCAAAACACAAAACCCAAACACTCAAAGAATAATTGAATAAATAGACCTTAAATTAACAGAAAAAAATAGATAAAATAGACCTCAAATTAACAGAAACCCCCCCAAAAAAACAATAACCCCGCGGTCGCCTACCCCCCAGAGCCGCAGGTCCGGCCGGCAAGATGGCTGCTCTGCGGACGGGCTTCCTCGCTCGGAATATATCCCGATTTCGCTTCTCCAACGTCTCGAGGGCGAATGACTTCTATGCAGCCCTTTTCCACAGCTCGCCGCCGCTCAATGGTATGACAATGGGGGAGAAGGAGGGCGTGTGTAAGGGTGAAAAGGGATGGAAAAGGTGTGTCGTCTGTTAACGTAGGCCTATGTATTTCTAGCCTTCATTTTGTCCTTGGGATAATTAGAGGTCATTAATCAACTGAATTTACAGCTAATTAATCATGATTGGTGTGCGAGGGAGTCGTAGAAACGTTAAAAGATCCAAAAGGGTTAATGTTGCTGTCTGCTTTAAATCGTATTGCAAAAAACAAGATTTTGCAATAGGTTATTTTTAGTCACATTCTCAGTAACTTTTTTTTTTAATTATCAGAAATTATTTTAGATTTATAAGTCCTTAATTATGTAATTATGTGATCCTTCTAATGTTCATGAAAGACCTGAAAGCTGTCAGATATTTCCAAATAAAACTTGATTTGTAGAAAATGTTGAGATAGTAATTTTTTTTTTATTTTTGTTATATACCCAGAAAATTATACAGTATATATGAACAGATTTTGCAACTTGCAAGATTACTAAATAAAAAAATGATGATAATAATGTCAACACACACATAATGGCACACAGCCTAAGCCTATTAGTCCTGTAGGTCGCCACACCTCCTTCGCGCTAGAAATAGTCGAGTTCTCAATCACTTCTATCTACACTTCCAAACACTAGAGCAGTATAAAGATTCCTTTGCCCACCGAGCAGTTCAGTAACAGACTTCAGAAATATGACTCATTATTTTCAGTGTATTTTGAAGGTAATAGAAATAGGTGCATTGCATAATTCACGTCTTTTCTCTCTTTCTCTCTTTCTAACTGATGATTACCATGTTATGTAAATTTGAAGAATAGAAAACAATTCTTTAATTCTTTATTTTTATTATCATTACTAATGATGTTGTTATTGTTATTGTTATTATTATTAGTATTAGTATTAGTATTAGTATTATTATTATTATTATTATTATTATTATTATTATTATTATTATTATTATTATTATTATTATTATTTTTATTATTATAAAGATATTGATAGCAGTAATAATAGTAAAATGTTAAATAGAGTTGAGGTCAGGTAGGCCCCATAATTGACACCTTAGTGATTAGGCTTAACCCATTGCCTCGGGAAAGATGTAATGCTCATTTTAGTTTTCTTTTGTGCTTTGTCGTTATGCCAGCTAGATTAGTAGACCTCATGATCTCACCCGACTTCCTTGCTCTTTCGGGGGGGAAAATGCTATCAGTATCAGTGCTGTTATTTTTATTACAGATATTATGATTATTATAATGTAATTGATATTACTAATAAGAGTATATGACAAAGGGGGAATATTCCCAAAATTCAAGGGAAAGGGTAAGCAGGTGTGGTAAATAATACTAGTAATTGGTTCCTATGTAATTAAGTACTTATGGATTCATCTGTGTGACTTGTAGAGCCATTTATGTGTAAAGACAATTGAACCAAATCCGATAGGCATGACATGTATGTACATGCCATATCCACTATAAGTTTATTTTATTTATTGTTTTTACACATAGATTCCTACACTTGTACTAAGTCACCAATGACCCAATTACAAGTACTGCCTGTCTCGTCTATTTACCCTTATCTTTGATTTTCAGAAATATTTTACGCTATCGTTTCACTTTGTATATTAACATTTGTCTTGTGTATATGTATATGCTGTCTTGAAATTCATTTGTCTTTAATTGACCACTTGGTGAATTATTCTGTCACTTTCTTGCTTTCATTTCCTTTCACTTAAAACAAATGTTCACCTAATACAGAATTCTTTCTCTTTAATCTTCCTTTAATGTTTGCCAGTTTATCTTTCTTATACTTAATTTCTTCTTTTACTCTCCCATATGTTTTCCTCTCTCATCATCTTTATCTCACTCCTTTATACATACTTTGCAAAATGAACGATAATTTGACATGCCTTGCAATCCCTCACACAGCGGAAGGTATGCCTCTTAAAATGCCATCACTTTCCCCCACGATGATGGAGGGAACCATCGTCAAGTGGCTTAAAAAGGAGGGAGACCCCATTCAGCCAGGAGACGCCCTGTGTGACATTCAGACAGATAAAGCTGTGGTGACGATGGATACCGAGGAGGAGGGCATCCTAGCCAAGATCCTGGTACGTTGAATGCCGGCGATAACTACTGTAAGGAAGGTGATTTCGTGTTTTGTGTGCAAGTAGGGGAAGGTGGTTGGAGCCGGACATCAAAGTATTTATTGTCATTCTTAATAGTATTATTATTGTTGTTGCCTTTCAGCTTTATGGCTACAGGTGCCGAGGTAGTAGCAGCAGCCTTCATTATCTGTCTAAGGCTTTATTTCATAGTATTTGACTGAAAAGGATTTTTATCTCATTATACTGCAATTACAGCTGGACTTTTTGGTTTTGGTGGAGACGATGAAGGTGGATCTTTCTTGGACAATTTCTCTGAAGCACACAGCCATATGGCAGGAATTGATAAAGCAGAGACTACAAAGAAGAGTAAAGTTCAAGTTGAAACACAAGAAAAGATAAGTTACCCAAAGGACACCATACAAATGAAATGCTCTAGAAAGACTGAAGTTGAAGAACAACACAGAAAGCAGATAATGAGAGGGGAGGTCAATGCAGAAGCTAAAGAAACTGTCAGTGAAGCAAAACAGGAGGACGAGGCAAACCAGCCCTGGATCAAGGACCACAAAGAGCAACCCAAGAAGGCATTGAAATGGTATGAAATTATATTAATGGAAGGTCACGGAATGGCTCAGGTGAAAAGTGAACCTCCACATGAAGTGAAAGAAACTCCCCTGTCTGCAAGATCAGTGGAAGAAGGTACAGACTCAGTGCAAGTACTAGATAGGGATTTGTTTGCAAAGGAGAGCAAGCAACATGAGGCTGCTGAAACTGAGTCAGAGTCTACTGTGAAAGCATCAGATACTGTGAGTAGTGAGAAACAACTTCCAGAAGATTTAAGTGATGCAGCACAAAGTGATCATACAGTAGAGGAATTGGTTGCTCTTTCAAGAACACCAGAGCTCATAGATGATGTAACAGGAAATGTGGAAGCAGAAAAAGCTATTCCTCAAGAATCTGAGTTTGTCCACAACCAACCGGAATTAGAACCCAAATTTGGACCAATAAATGTTGCGAAACTAGACTTTGCTGAAGCCCCAGTTCAGGAGAGAGAGAAATACTTAGACACTGAAGATGAACTTACCTCTTGTCAGAAAGAAAATCTCCAAGAAATAGGTTCTACTGCTAGTACAATTGTGATGGAAGATGACTCTACCCTAAAGGAATCTCATGTCCTTCATGAGTACCCAGAGGAAAGAGAGACAACCTTGATAGTGCCCTTAGAAGCAGCAGAAACTATACAGCCTAATTCTGTTGACCTATCGGGGGAACATACTGAATTGCAGGAGGAAAACCTTCAAGTATTTGGAACTGTTGTACAAGAGGAGGCACAGTCAATTGAGGATCCTTTTCAGAATGTTGATATTCATGAATATTCTTCAAAGGAGTCACAGGCTACAGGTCAGAGTCTTGGAAATATTGAAGCTAGTGACAAGGAGTTGCAGGATAGTGAGCCTGAGATTATAGAAGGTGACTATACCCTTGAGCAGCTGTTTGCTTTAACAAGAACATCCGATGGTACAGATGACATCGAAGGAAAGAGGGAAGGAATAGCTTTTCCTGAGGATTCTGAATTTGTCCATCACCAGCCAGCATTAGAACCCACATCTGGACCCAAGAATATTGCCAAGTTAGATTGTGCAGCTGTTCAGAAGCGAGGGACGTACACAGACATTGAAGATGAACTGACTTCCTGCCAGAGAGAAAATCTTCAAGAAATAGGAACCACAGAGACTGTATTTCTCCAGGAAGATGGATCTGGCTTGAGTGAGTCCATTGCCCTTCATGAATACCCTGAGGAAAGAACAACAACCTTGATTGTGCCTTTAGAAGCAGTCATCACCAAGAAGGCGGATCCTGTTGACATCTCTGGAGAACTCGCAGCACTGCAAGAGGAAAACCTACAAGCATTTGGATCTGCTGTGCTAGAAGAACCACAAACACTCGAGGATCCACTTCAAGGTGTTGATATCCACGACTACAGCTCAAAAGAATCAGAGAGTTTGAGTCAGCTTGGTGAAAATATGTCAAGGAATGAATCACAAGGAAGTCCCACTTATGGTGATAGAGGAACAGTCAAGCAGGAACAGGACAGAGCCACTCCCTCCCCTACCTTAACACCAGACACCTGTTCTCTGTACCAGGTATGCTGTCTGGGTAGTGCAGTGGTATAATGGGCTGTTTGCTTTGGGATTATGGCATAGCATTTCAAACATATTCTGCCTCTTTTGTTGTAACATGTAAAGTGTTTGCTTTGCACTGGACACTTGATATTAGTCATGCAACATGATCCCACTGTAATGCATTGCTATAATTGACATCTATATAGACATACTTCATATATTTGATTGTTTGTGTTGGGTGCATGGTTTAATCTTAAGTTTAAGAGGTGATACAAAGCAAAAAAGTGCAGTAGCTGTTTACCAGTAATGCAACTGCACTGCCCAGACTGCCCTGGTATGAATTGCTTGGGAGTAAATCTTTTGATTATTAGGGTTTTGTAAAGAGAAATATCTTTATTCAAGGGTGTGGAAGTAAGAATGTTAAAAAAAACAACAGTTATGGACAGTAATTGAAGAATTTCATATGAAGTAGGTGTACAGGTCTTGTCTTGTATAGTATTGTTTGATATTGTGAAATGGATATACTTTATTTTTATTATATAGATTATACTATCCAGGAAAAATAACACTATCTATTTGTGGGTTTAATTGTTCTCAGAAGAAAAGTTAATTTTGTACTTTTTCAATTTTTTCCTAATTTTTCATACCTATAGATCTTATATTCATTCTGTGTCATGCCAGGACATTTTGGTTCTTGTTTTTAGGATGACCTTTTTTTGTACTACTTTTTGAATGTACTTTTAACTTAGTCACTGTTTCTCTGTGTAAAGAAATGAGGTTTATGTAAATGAAAGTTACCTAAAGTAATTGTTAGTGCTCAAGCATGAAATAACAGGAAAGATAATGTTATCCACTTTTAAAAGAGATTGTAAGATGTTTTAATGAAGGTAATAGAAACAGTGATTATCGTAATGTGTGTTTATTTGTGTTTTTCTTTTTAGTTTAAGCTAGTCTTCTTTTTTTCTTTCTTTCTTTTTCTTTCTTTCTTTTTCTTTCTTTCTTTCTTTCTTTCTTTCTTTCTTTTTCTTTCTTTCTTTTTTTCTTTCTTTTTCTTTCTTTCTTTTTCTTTTTTTCTTTCTTTCTTTCTTTCTTTCTTTCTTCCTTTCTTTCTTTTTCTTTCTTTCTTTCTTTCTTTCTTTTTCTTTCTTTCTTTCCTTCTTTCTTTCTTTTTTCTTTTCTTTTTTTGAAATCTAGAAAAAGGAGTAACACCCATTTATCAGGATATTTTATGTTGTTATGGGTGATCATCATATAGTACTGTTTGTATGTGTGTAATAGAATCTTGTTTTTCTTCTACTTCTTCTTTTTCTGAAATAACAGTGTCTTATAGAGACTTATTGATAATGATCTAATATTTATAGAAATTTTGATTTGTGGAGAATATGTTTCTCAAGGACTTTCTCCTTTTCTTACACCAGGTACCTGAGGACACAAAAGATGTTAAAGTAGGAACTCTAATCGCTGTCTTAGCTCCTGAAGGAGAGGACTGGAAAACCATAGAAATCCCAGCTGGTGAGGAGTCGGCAGCTTCTTCAACTGCCGCCGAAGCTGCTCCTGCTGCAGCAGCTGCAGCCGTGGGTGGCCATGCTCATGGGTAAGCAGGAATTATGTTGTTTTTCTTCTGAAGGAGTTAATGTCTTTTTTTTTCAGTTTTTCTAATCTCCACTCGTGTTTCTTCTTTTACTTTCTGTTTTTCTTTCTTTCTTTCTTCCTTTTTTTCTCTTTTTCCTTTTAGTCCATATCCTACCTGATTTCACCTTTCCTTGAATTGGTGGGAATATCGATTGTGTTATAATTATAATTACTATAATGTTATAAACATTAGTAACAGCAAAATAAGATAACGTAAAAAAAAAAAATTGTAAATCAAGGAAGAGGGTAAATGTGTAGCCATCTATGTGTAAAAACAATTAATATAGTAAACTCACAGAGGGCATGGCATGTACGTACATGCTATGCCCGTCGGCATTGGGTTAAGATAGGGTGTTTGTTATTTTGAAATTAAATATCCAAATTTAAGATTTTTGACTCCAGCTCCACCATATCAAGAATTCTGATGATAGATCCTTGTTGATTGGATGTTCATTTTCAGCAGTTAATGTTGATTCATGGGATTTTTGTCTTCAGGGAGAATGAAAAATGAATGTTAATGAATATGGTGGGAAAAGCTGGCATGGTCTCCCTTTTCTGCTTATCCTGGAAAAAAAAAAATCAGAAAAGAATCCTTAAGTTTTGCAGGTTTTCAGTTTTCATATATTTTCAGTACAAGTTTCAGGCATTACTGAAATGTTGATTTGGGAAGATAACACATCAAATATTAGAATGTTTAAGGAATCACATTCTGGATTAGTTTTTGTTGTCTAGCATCAAATTTTGTGATTTTATTTTTTCAAGAAACCAAGAAAGTAAATGAATATGAAATGAAAAAGCACTTGACGGCTGTAATTACCATACCATTAATCCAGACATGGCTGATTAGCTTTTAACCAATATATAAATATATCTACACCAAAAATTACAGAATTTCATTACAGTCCGTGGCATAGATTTCAGAGATCAAATTTTTAAAAATTTTCATTCAAGCTTGATAAAAAACAAAGTATTGAATATTTTAAAACACAGCTTCTGTACCATATACATGACCAGAAAGAAATAATCCAGTGTTTTCTTCCACCTAAGTAATTACGGGCCCTCGGTGCGGCTGTTGCTGGAGCAGTATGGACTGACCGCTGAACAGGTGCCTCCTGGGGGTCCGCATGGAGTTCTTCTCAAAGGAGATGTTTTGAAGTACATCAAGGAAAAAGGTCTTCAGCCACTCCCGGTATCTGCAGGTATTGTCTTTGTTGTTAATGTTTTTGTTGTTTTCTTGTGTAAAATGTCATATTCTTTTTGGTTTTTGTGTATATTTTGATTCATATTCTGGTTGTAGTGTGTACCCTTTGCATGTCATGTTTGTTTGTCCTCTTGTAATAGTCAGATACTACTTTTAAGATGTCTTGCATTATATTTTTGAAGGAATAAGGGAACTTTTATGCAAAAGCATCATTACTGTAATACTATACATTCCTCAAGGATTCAGAATGGTTTCACCTTTTTTATTTCTTCACAGTAAACAAAATTCAGTGTAGATAAGTCTTAGCTCTTGTTAATAGTTGTCAGTATTTGGAGTTTGAGTTTCTTGAATTAATTGGTTATTTTGTTGAATATCTTGTGCTTTGCTGGTTTTATAGGAATCAGGAATTCTCAGATAAAATGTTTTATATCATATATTAGCAATTCCTCTACATCAGTTCTTCTGGTCAGGTGAAATACTAGTGATCATTATTAATATTTCACTGACATGTCAAGTTTCAGACTAGCAGTTCAGAGAGGAAAAGTGTATTTCTTGTAAAATATCCTATTCAAATTTAATAATTAATTTTATTTTCTTCTAGTACCACCACCTGAAGTACCAAAAGCTGTTGCTGCTGCTCCAGCGGCACCAGCTCCTACGCCAGCTGTTCCAGCTCCTCCACCAACTATTGGAGTGTCTGAGGATGGGTATGAGGATATTGAAGTCACCAGCATGAGGAGAACCATTGCTAAACGATTAACACAGTCCAAGGTAAGACCGATTAAAAAATATTAACCCTTAGGTCTGGATGACTCACTGACCAAAATACAGGCATTAGGATTATTTGAGTGGCCACTATGACAGGTGTGTGGCTCTTGTCATATATTTGAGGTGACAAGACTCCATCACTCCCCATTTTATTCTCTCTTTTCTTCTATATAAGCATTTCATTTGATTTACTTTGTCTAGGTGGTAATGGACTGTTTTCTTTACACAGATTCTATATCAAATCTAGGTAGTCCATTACTCTGTACAATGATAGTAATGACGAACTTTCTTCTTCTTTTTTTCAATTTTCATTTTTCTGTTATACAACTTGTGCTACCAGTCACAGCGGGCAGGAATAGCTTCTTTAACATGGAAATACTCGTTTTTCAATGGAATTAATGCAAAAGCCCCTTCCTAAATGCCCACTGATTAAAATCAATCTCCAAGAGCTTTTTGCACTCATGATGATTCATTCCCGTCACTCCAGCCGAAATTTTTCTCATGACGGCATGTTCACACCATCCTGATCACAGGGGTTAAAAGTTCTATTATATTATTTGTAAGTTATATTAAACTGTTTATATGTTTATACAAACTACTTCAGTCTTTCAGGGTTATACACCCTAAATTCATTGAAAGCTGGCAGCAGAATTTTTGAAATTTTAAGAATGAGGATAAAAGTGATTGTGTTTCAGAACTCATGCCAATGTGAAATATTAATCCAAAGATTCATGATATATTTTCAGAGTGGAATTGCTCATTCATATGGCACTCTGGAATGTCAGTCAGACAAACTCCTGGCCTTGAGAAAACAATACAAAAACGAGGGGATGAACGTGAGTGTAAATGACCTCATCATCAAGGCAGTCTCCATGGCCCTTACTAAGTGTCCGGAGATGAACTGTGTCTGGCAAGGGGACCAGGTTAGTAGTTATTTCATGTTGCTGTAGTCTCTGTGTTTGTAAATAACAGCTGGTGGTAAAGGTCCCTTTCTTTTTCTTTTACAGTAAATTTGTTTATGTAAGGGAATTTGTAATATTTAAGCATAAATTTATATTTTGTGTTTTTTTGTTTGTAAAAATATCTAGCACATTTAATTTTCATGTGAAAAGCATCTTTATATATTCTGTTGTATATTCCCAAAGTGTCTTAATTAATTTCAAAAAGAAAAAAAATATATATGATAGAGCAAGTAAATTTCCAGCATTTATAAAACTGAGGATGACCTAAAAATATAATTGTATACATACTAGACTCCTGTAAATAAACCCCTTCATTTCAGCTTACATATGCCAGTCAAGTAGACATGAGTATTGCAGTGGCCACACCCACAGGCCTCATTACTCCCATCGTTCGTGGTGCAGATGTGTTAGGTATTGAGGAGATTGCAAGCCAAGTACGTGATCTAGCAACCAGAGCGAGAGAGAATAAACTGAAGCTGGACGAATTCCAAGGTGGAACTTTTACGTAAGTATCGGCTCTGGAGTTGAACATTTTCTATTTTTTTCTTTCTTTCTTTCTTTGTTCGTTTGTAGGAGTAAGTTGTAATACAATTAGGGAATGCCATTCAATTTATGTTTACTGTGTTTTGACTAAGAGTTGGCACCTAGAGAGATCAGCCTTTAATTCTGTATATACATGCAGGAAATTATTTCATTTATATGAGCTTGAAAGTCTGTAAGGAGGTGGCATAGGTCAATGGTTGAGTGCTGACTTTGCAATTGCAAGGCCCTAGGTTTGCACCCAGTCAGCCCCTCTCAGTAAAATCAGCTGTGAGTGAGTACTGGCTTTGTGCTGCAATTAAGGAAAGGAACTGGCCACCCTACCACATCATCCCACAGCTCAATACAAATATGTACCCTACGTCCACTTAGATAAAGAACGAACCTTGAGAGGATTTATATTCTTATTTGATTTGTTTGATGATATACAGTACAGTGTCTGTGAATTTATGTATTCAGATTTTGTTTATTTCTTCTTTACAGGATCTCCAACTTGGGTATGTTTGGAATAAGCGAGTTCAGTGCGATTATCAACCCTCCACAATGTGGCATTTTGGCTGTGGGTTCTGGGATTGTAAAAATTGGTAAGTAAAAAAAGCCTTACCTCTTTGAAAATAAGTAAATAACATAATTAGTAGACAAATGAATAGATATACATAATTGGAAATATTCAAATAAGTGTCTGTAGGTTTTACCTCGTGCCATAAAGTTTACTAAAAGAAGAAAAAAATATATATCCTGGAGACGTGTGACAATTTTGTATACAATTTTTTTTTCCATTTCAGATGAGAATGGTTCACCCGTCACATGCATGAGAGCCACTCTGTCATATGACCGTGCTGGCGTGGACGATGACACAGCCGCTGCCTTCCTTGAAGAGCTCAAAAATATTCTTGAAAACCCAGCTATTATGATGCTTGGAGGCTACAAGTCACAAGTGGACCACCCATTAGCAGCCTTACTATAGTGATACTACAGGACCATCTTGATCTATTCAAAATTTTATCATTTTCATCATGTATAATTTATTTATGTGATTTAGTTTTTTAGACTAGCAAGGCTGGATTATGAGGGAAATTTTTTTTGATTTTATGAAATCTATTTATAGTATAGCCAAAGATATTTGGTGTATATTGTGCAGTTTTACTGTTGTAGAACTATAAAAAAGGAAAATTGCTATGTATTTAAATATATAATTTAAAATATAAGCACCTTACTAGGAAATGGTGACTTGGAACAGAATAAAGTATTGGGATATACAAAGTTATGGTGCAAATTTTCAAACAGATTATATATTATTTGTAAATAAAATAGTGATATTTGCTCAGTTACGAAAATTTGATTTAAGTAACCATAATACTTTGTCGATTAATACAAGCTTATATGTTTTAATGAAGAGAATAGATCCTGGTGTTATCAGCAATAACAGAATTTCAGATCATAATGGGAACTGGAACAACATAAAGCATTTATACTGTCAAGTTGTTGGATATTAGTTGCCATTTTAGGCATCTCTAGGAGACTTTCTGTTGTGTAAATATTTATTGTAAAGAAATGTAATAAAAGTATGAATGTACTGTTGCATTTAAGTGAAACCTGAGTGGATAAATTTGTGTGTATGTGAGTGAGTATGTAGGCAGTTTCCTATCTGTGTGTTTATACGGTTTTGAAGACTATTTTTGATAAAATGTATAATCCCTCTAATCTCATGCCCGCTGTTGTTGCAGGGGGGCTTAGGAGACAGAGACTCGGGCCCAATGCTGGGGATCGTCTCAGCCCTCAACTCAACTAATTTTGCATGGTCTTCTTTTCTTCCCCTTTCCTTTTCCTTCTCTTTTCTGACCCCTTCTACTGTCCACTTCTAAAGTTATGAAGGCTGTGTTGAAAGGATGAAACACTGAATTTGTACCAGTCATGAACAGCCTAGGTATTGAAGATTTTGTACCTTTATTAGGGGCATTGAGGCTTACCTCTTTATCAACTAGCCCCACTGATTTTAATTCTTTTAATTCATAACACCAGACTCTCCTTTTATCACGAATCTGAACATTACTACTACCCACTCCTCAATGCCTACTGTCACCTTCGCACAATCCAAGTGACCCATCCATGTCATTACTTGGTATAACTATCCTTCATTGGAATCGCGGTTTCCGCTCCCACAGACCTGACTTTCGTCATATCCTTTCCTCTTATAACCCATCTATTGTATGCCTTTAAGAAACCTTTCTTACACATCCTCCAATACCAATCCCCAATTATCATTTTGTCTCTTCCCCACATTCCCTTTATGTCTTGTCCATACTTTGAACTTTTCAGAAAAAGTGAGGCAGTCCAAGCTCTCCCCAAGCCTAGTTTAGCTCTGAACTGTGTCAGTGGTCGCAGTGGGACAGAGATCTTGCAGCAGCTGTCACCCCAAGGTGTTATGGTCACTTATGGTGGAATGTCAAGAAAGGTAAGTCAGCAGTGTACAATGAGTGAACCAAGCAAAAGGAAGACATTCAAGTTTGGTTCGGGTGGTTATCCATTTTTTCTTCTTTTAAGTAATTTGAAGTAACTGTTGATGGGCATTATGTATTTAAAATCATTTTTAAATTAACGTAATTTTACCATGTCAGCAAATTCACATGCCTCACCTACATATCTGTAATACTGTTTTCTTGATTTATATCAACAAAAAATACATAAAAGTAATTTGTTTATGATAACTCCATCTTTGTTTCTTTCAGCCTGTTACTGTTCCCGTTGGTTCCCTGATCTTCTCAGATGTGACTCTGAAGGGATTTTGGATGACCCGCTGGAATAAGGCCCATTTTAGTCACCCAGAACGAGAGCTAATGTTAGGTGAACTTTTTGACTTGGTGAAGCAGGGTAAGCTGTGTCCACCTGATCATGCAATGGTCCCCTTTCAGGATTATATAACTGCTTTAAAAGATGCTATGCCAAGTGATGGTATGGTTGGTAAAAAACAAATACTGGTCTTTCCTTAGATATGAACAATCAGTTTTGCTGTGCAAGGGAGTAAAAGAAATATTGACAGTTCTAAACCAGTATACTGAATGGGTTATCTATTTGAATATATGCTATGTATGGTTGAATACATTGAGTGAGGGTTAGCTGCTAATATCCTCATGATGTACATAAAGTTCTGGAAGCAACATATTTATTTTATGACCACCTTTTTTCTTTTTCCTTAAATTTTGGGAAAAACACTTTCATTTTCAACAAATATTAAAGCAGGAGGTGTAAGGTTCACTGTCATGTAATCAATTTATGATAAGCTCAACTAAATATGAAAAATATTGGTCTTCAAAGGTTATGGCTAATAAAAGAGGAAGTAGAAATGCGCACTTTAATAATATAATACTTGCCTTTAGGCTAAATTCAAAACATTTTTCCTCTACAAATCTGATATTGGCCCTAAATACATGTGGAGATGAAACACCAATATGTATGTAATGCACCAAAATATACTTAAAACAAATTTACAATAAAGTATAAAAAACTGCAATAAAGATCTAAATGTATATAATATGCCTCAAGAGAGTTCTCTCTCTTTTTATCTCTAACACTAACAGTGGGCTTTGTATAAATATACACTGGATGTGGTTTGTATCTCACGAAAGGGACTATGGAGCGCCACAAATACAAGGTCAAAAAATAATTCTGATGCCGTGGGTAGTTGGTGGAAGACATGATATAAGGATGAATAGATTGAGATGTAAACAGGCAGTGACGGAGAGATGCATATAATTAAACATGCAGATTGGCAAACAGCTTTTATAACTGTAATATTCCCCGGAAAGAAAGATGAACATCATGATTTCATATTTGTTCTAATACTCGAAAAATTTCCCTTTTAAATAATGACACACAGTTTTCTCATCATGAATGAATATTGGCGTTGTAGAAAGACCTGGTTACGTATCGTCTTTTGTGATAAGAAAACAGCTGATAGTCATTTGGCGAAAGAACTGGTTGTAGAAAGAACTGGTTATCTATCGTCTTTTGTGATAAGAAAACATTATGTGCACGGGATGCATGGGTTAACATCTAAAATTATCAATTAGATAAGATAATTATCATCAATCTAAATTCCTGACACCTACAACTCGCAAAATATCATCTCTAATTTCATCCCAATATAAAATCCCAACATACAAATTTATCTCGGGAATTTTAACCACAGGCTTTAAATATGATCACACTTTCCTTATATATCCCTCTGAATGATATTGCACGTTGAGAAGGTAACAGTCTGCAATATAACGCAATGCAATGAATATAGCGAAGTGCAAATAATTGAATGTAAATCAGGATCAAAGTCCTTCTCGCATTTCTAGGCTTGTGTGTTCATAATCAAGCGCGAAATATCTTGAGAACGTTAGTCCCTCTCCCGAAGCGACAAACGTTTCATGACTTTTTTTTTTGCCTCAGGTCTCATCATATCTTGAACTTGAGATTATTTGATGAAGCTACAGCGGTGTTTGTGGAAATAAGTTTTTTTTCACTGTGATAAAGCAAGGATTAGGTACAGAAAGAGAGAGAGGGGGGGGGGGGGAGGAAGAAAGAGACAGAGAGGGGGAGACAGACAGAGCGAGAGAGAGACGGACAGACAGACAGACAGATAGACAGAGAGAGAGAAAAAAAAAATAAGAGAGCGAGAGAGAGAGAGAGAGAGAAGAGAAACAGAGAGAGAGAAAGAAAGAGA